GTCAAACAATCATCTAGCGATTTGCATAAATTTGTTAAATGGACTGAATCGACGTATACTCCACTTAGCTCTTCACCCATTTAAAACTAAATTATGGGGTGGGTTAGGTTGTCAAGTTTGTGGCAAATTTCTCTGAAATGCAACTCAATAAACTCCTGAAATTTAATACAATTTTTTCCCCTATTTTTGCGCGTGGGCCAGAGATGAAGTCAAGTTAACTCGTTTTTCAAATATTCTACAAAATTTCTTTCTCCCTCTCGTCTTCTTCGACGTATTAAGAATAAATAGTGACGATAATACTCTCAATGACGATAATATACTCTCAACTACAACTAAACAGATACACAGTTTCGATCGAACTCCTTTTGTTTTAAAGAAAAAATCTTTCCAATGACCGAAGTTTCTTCTTCTTCGGTTGTATCGGTGATCCCAAGATCCCCACCGGGACCTCAAGTGTTCACCAGTTTCCGGGGAAAAGATGTACGCAAAAGCTTCGTCAGCTTTCTTGTCCCTGCCTTGAAAGATAAAAACATCAACGTGTTTATAGACGACCAAGAGGAGAGAGGCAAATTCCTAATCAACCTGTTTGAAAGGATAAGCCAGTCGAAACTCGCGTTGGTTATCTTTTCTGAAGGATACACCGACTCAAAATGGTGTTTGGACGAGCTGGTAAAGATCAAGGAATGCATGGATCAAAAGAAACTCATTGTGATTCCCATATTCTACAAGCTTGATCCCTCCAAAGTGAAAGGTCTTAGAGGAAAATTCGGCGATAAGTTCAGGGATCTTGCATATAGATATCGACATGAACCAGAAAGATGCCAGAAATGGACGGAAGCTTTAACTTCTGTTTCCCAAACGTTTGCCATGTCCTTGTCAAAGTACAGGTTATTATTTTACCACTTTACTTGACAAATGGTAGATACGATTATTTGTGTTCGGGTACTAGTTACAATATTAACTCTATAAAATTTTGTCTATAAACAAACGATGGTCTAGTGGTTGAGGATTCACTATGTTTGGTAGTCAAGTCTGTGGACGCCTTAAATGGCAAGAAAACAGAAATTTCTATTGGTTCTGAAGAATAGTCTGGTTTCAGTTACTTGATTTTGTCTTTTTCTTATAGTATACCAAGTACAATGGAAAGCTAGTTAACCCATTAATTTTTTTTGTTTTGTTTTTGGTTACATAAAAGTGACAAATCCGATCAAGATTTCATAAGTTCAATCGTCATGGAGGTTAAAAAGGTGCTGCTGAGTATCTCCAAAGGAATAAATGGAGAAAATGACGACAATTTCTCGGTCCCAGGAAGGAAACTTACTATCACTGCGTACGAGGCACCAAAGTAAGTGCCTGTCTTATGATTTCTTTGCTCCATTGACTTTGACCATTTATGATCTTTTGATGAGTTATACCTACAGCTCTACTAGTATGTTAACATGGATTGTGCAAGTAGAGTGGTTGAACAGGTCCCCGACTCAAATACGATTTTTTTTCACTATATATACAAATTTGAGCCTAAATTTTATTTAAAACTAATTTACCATATTAAATATACAGTAATAACTTTTTTGGAACGTGGTCTATAATAGTTTGAGAGTTGAGACACTCATGACTCATATCTAAGATGTAGTAAAATTGTCAAATGATCGAGTAGCAAAATCATTTTTAGCTAATAGAGTTTCCAAGAAAAACAATAATGAAACGCTAAAAACTGTAGATTATGACGTTTTATGTTTGTAGTAATATTCTGGTTTTTAAAACCAAAAAAGAATTGAGTATTTTTGTAGTAATATTCATTTCAATGTTTTGGATATTATGCTCAGTGAGGAAGCTGTTGAAGTTCCGGTGCTAAACAACATAAGTGAAAATTTACAGATGAGGAATCAGTTACCGGGGCCATCGTACGAGGTGATAACATTTGCTTTTCCTTTATTAAAAAAAAAAATATAACATTTGCTTTTCGTTTTGGTTAATTTTCTTTATTATGTTTATTGTTATCATTGTAAGAGATTGACATGGAGTTTTATATATCGACAGTTCAAATATTGGGACCTCCATAGACCAAATGGTAACGTTTTCATTATCAACGCAAGGGATCTCTCAATCGAGTGGTCGGAGAATCCTAAACATTGGACGTGGCTCCCTCTACCGAACCAAAATCCAAAGTAAAACTTCTCTTGTAATTACATTATTTATTATATAAATTTAGAGAAATATTTTAATATACCACAAAGAACTCTGTTTTACTAAAATATCACATTAGCATTTTAGAAAAGTCTTTTTAAACTTTTAGGAAACTTTCATACAACTGATTTTATGGAGGTTCCTTAAGTTTAGTAAGGTCTTCTACACATTTAATTTGTGGTAGTTTTAGTAAAACAAATTGTGGTATTTCTGAAAATGCTCCATAAATTTTTGGAATAAAACCTAAAGGATACTTTTAGAGAATACTATTTCTACTAATTTTTTGTTTTTGTCAGCTATATATACTAATATTATGGTTATGATTAACTTGTATATACAAAAATGTTAATTTTGATTATAATATTTTCAAGTGACAAGCAAGATCATTGTAACGACAATTTTTTAAAAATATGTTTTCCAAGATTATTGTCTATTACTATATATAAACACAATATTTTCCAGTGAAACAGTCGAAGCTGCATTTTTGAGAAAAGCTAGTTGGCTAGATGTAGCCGGAACGTTTGACACACGATATCTAACACCGTGGACAAAGTACGAGGTGGTATTTGCGGTGAAGTTGGAATATGCCACATTAGCATGGGAGAGACCGGTGAAGCTGAAGTTGGTCTTGCACAGTAATAGGAAGAAAACGTTAGAACGGAGTGTGGACATGGTAGATTACATGAGTAAGCAATGGGTTGATATTCTGGTCGGCGAGTTCACCACATCGACGAAAAACATCGGGGATATCTCTTTTGCAATGTATGAACACGAGTGTCAACTGTGGAAGTCAGGGCTCTTCGTCAAAGGTGTTGTAATTCGTCCCAAAAGCTGTCATTTATAAGCATGGAGGACCTCTCTGATCTCTCTTTCTTCATCCATCATTTTATGTACCATCTGCATGTGTTGTTTGTCGTAAAAAAAAGTTGAGCTTCCCCAGTGAAACATATTTTTGATATATAAACATGTATTTAAGTTCGTTAATTGAGCAGCACTGGATACAACTTATTAATTCGAGCCGACAATGGAGAAGAAAATAATTCACATATTCTTGTCAACATCTATTTTCAACATTTATCACAATGACGATTACTACAAAAGAAATTTGCTAAATTTTGTGCCATCACCAATACTTTCATCGAATGTGAAGTCGGTTCTAGCAGAAAACCTGATCCGGCACCGACCTTTTTTTTTCTCTCTCGCTCGAGATACTCAATGCCTCCTAGCGAGAGAAAAGAAGATTAAATTAAAAGTTTTATTTGACGACAATGAAAATGGTCCAGTAAACTCTGTTGGCAGAAAACGTTAAGTACTTGGCAAGTTGCATGATGGGATTAATTTTGGAAAGACTCTGGAGAAGTCTTTGACACTTTCAATTATATAATTTATGGAAAGCCTTTGGGGGACTAGACTAGCGCAAACCATTAGCGAGGCACCATATAGTACTTTATTTAAAATTAGCTTGAGTTTTGTTTTATAAAGGGAAGTTGGCTAAAATAACATAAAAAAAAAAATATTTCACTAACTAACCAAATGTTTATAATCTAATGGTTTCCATTTCTCTACGTGCTATTTTCATTAGATTGTAAATATAAATTTTTTAGTTAGTCTTGCAAATCAACCTTTTATAAATCACTTGACAAAAAAAACAATAAAAATACGCGTTTCCCCAAGTAATAGAGTTAATAGAACCATTCAAACAACCATAAGTTGTTTTCCTTTGTTAATTGATGAATTAGTACAATTGACCAAGCTACTTATTAATTTATCTTGACGATTTAACATATAAAAACCCTAGATTAGAGGTATGGTTAAAGGCATCTTGAGACACATAGAAGGTCAAAAACATAAATCTATCTAACTCACTTTTTGCCTCAATTAAAAAGCCCTCACATGGGTGCTGTTTTCTCTTCCTCGTCTCCTCAAGTGTTCATCAATTTCCGAGGACAAGATGTGCGCAATGACTTCCTTGACTCTCTCGTAGATAAAATGAAAACTGAAAATATCAACGTCTTTATAGACAAACACGAGGTGAGAGGCTTGGCTCTAGAGGATCTATTCATGAGGATTGAAGAGTCAAAGGTTGCGATAGTTATCTTTTCAAAGAATTTCACTAATTCACCTTGGTGCTTGAATGAGCGTGCCAGAATCAAGGATTGTGTGGATAGAGGCACTCTTATAGCAATTCCGATCTTCTACAAAATGAAACCGTCCGTCGAGAAAGATCTCACAGGAGATTTTGGCCTTGCTTTCAGGACTCTAAAGTACGAAAATCGACACGATCCAGTAACCGAGAAATGGGAGAAAGCTATAGTGTCTATGACGCAAAGGCACGGAATGGAGTTGCAAGAACACAGGTTTGTCTTTCGTCGCTTCTCTCTCCTTTTATTCTATAATTAGTAGTCTTCTTAGGAAAATTAAATCTTCACTATCAGACCAAAAAGGAAAACAAACCCCATAATCTACAAAAGAAAGAAAGTAAGACCAGATTCTGAACAATAGATTTAATATAAATTTCGTATTATCTAAAGGTTAGAACCCCAATATAATTTTTTGATTTGTTTTCCTCCATTAGTTAGAATCCCTAAACATACATTATATAAAAATAAGTGAGGTTTACTAAAAAAATCTTGAAAATAGTTTTTTTTTGACCAAAATGATGCTAATCTTTCATAATTACTCAAACAACTTTTAAAGATTTTTTGTACACGTTTTAGCTTTATTTCCTTTGAAGACAAAAACGTATTTACGGAATTGCCATTAATGAGGCAGCGAATAAGTCTACCGTTCATGTGATAGTAGATTAAGTGGTTGGTAGACTTATTGATGGTTAGCAATCGTAGACTTATTTATAGTAGTGGTAGATTTTTTTTTTTTGGTAGTGGACCGGGAGAGAGTATCCCAGCATTTTATTAAAACTTCAAAAATTACATGGTAGATTTATAATATGTGGTAAACTTATTAGCAGTAGTGGTAGAATTAATTTTGTGATCAGTAGATTAAATGATAGTTCGCACAGTCGTAGATTTATTTATAGTAGTGGTAGATTTATTTTTCACTGATAGACTTACTAGTAGTAGTGGTAGAGTTAATTTTGTGATCGGTAGACTTATTGATGGTTCGCGCAATGGTAGACTTATTTATAGTGGTGGTAGATTTATAAAATGTGGTAGACTTATTTGTAGTACTGGTAGAGTTAATTTTGTGATCGGTAGACTTATTGATGGTTCGCGCAATGGTAGACTTATTTATAGTAGTGGTAAATTTATTTTTGAGTGATAGACTTATTAGTAGTTGTGGTAGAGTTATTTTGTGATCGGTAGACTTATTGATGATTCGCGCAATGTTTTACTTATTTATAGTGGTGGTAGATTTATAAAATACGGTAGACTTATTTGTAGTAGTGGTAAAGTTAATTTTATGATCGGTAGACTTATTTCTAGTAGTGGTAGAGTTAATTTTGTGATCGGTAGARTTATTGATGGTTCYRGCAATCGTAMARMTATTTAWAYTAGTHYTAYATTTAMTTTMGAGTGATAGACTTATTAGRAGTAGRGGTAGAGTTAATTTTGTGATCGGTAGACTTATTGATGGTTCGCGCAATCATAGACTTATTTACAGTAGTGATAGATTTATTTTTGAGTGATAGACTTATTAGTAGTTGTGGTAGAGTTATTTTGTGATCGGTAGACTTACTGATGGTTCGTGCTATTGTAGACTCATTTATACTAGTGGTAGAGTTATAATATATGGTATATTTATTTATTATCGCGGTAGATTAATTCAATCTTTTCACTTCTTTACTAACACAACCTTTAGTTGGTAGACTTATTTATAGTAGTGGTAGATTTATGTTATAGTAGTGGTAGATTTATAATATGTGGTAGACTTATTTATAGTTATGGTAGCGGTAGATTCATAATATGTAGACTTATTTGTAGTAGTGGTAGATTTATAAATATATGATACTCTTATTTATAGTGGTGGTAGACTT